AGGAATGCAAGCTGAGGAGTCGGGGAACAATGTTACAAGAGACCTGCTTTTACAGCCTTCCGTTATAGCAGTCGTGGTACTCCACGATGAAGGCGGATGTAGTGATGCTGTCTTCCATAGTGCTTGCTTCTGTTAACAAAGCTGATAGAAAGTCCCATCTCATATCTCACTTCTGATGCTTCCTGCAATGTTTTGTATGCATTAGCCTACACTGTAGTGCAACTTTCATCGCTTTAGGCCTGTGCTGTCTTATAAGCTTCTTCTCGTGTTCAGTTAGCGCTTCCTACTTCTGTAGACTTGAACTGCTCCTTACAGTACCTTATCATAGAAGCATACTGAGTGCTAGTAGGGAAGGCCTCTTTGGGACTAAACAGATGAGGTATTGAATTCTTGGATGTGGACCTATTCCTGTTGCGGTTGAGCTACAGAAAGGCAGGCTGCACCTGCCAGGAACCTGGTGGGATGGGAGTCTGAAGGTCTTTCTTGCACAGCTCTCTTTGTCTGCCATAGAAGATCCAGACAATTGCTTCACCTCTGTGCCTGCTTTTATTTTCTTCTCTATTAATGTAACCTGTAAGTCCTGTAAGGGAATAGGCTATGCAGAGGCTAAGGATTCCTGGTTACTGGAAAGGCCTTTGTGGTATAATGACTTTCTCTAGCTGTGTAACACACCGCTGACTAGCTGGTTCTTCCCTTTGTGCCCAGAGATACTGAGGGAAAGCAGCAAGCGGTCTGTCTGAACAGTCAGTGGCTAGGGTGAAGCGTTTAGAGGAACACAGGAGTCTGCAACCTGCTGTATTCTCAAGGGTGTTATGCAGGCACCCACCTGCGTCTGGCAGACAGCTTTGTTGGGGAAGAAATCTTTGATCTCAGGGTCATGCTTTGTCTTCGCAGGGATGCCGGCAGGTATTTGCTTGTCATATGCTGTGGGACACAAGCGGTGTGTGTGCGCGTCTTCTTGCTGGCTGTGCTAAATTTGGGTCAAAGCAGCAGCCTGTAACCAAACACCATGCCACTGGCACTGAGAGCAGCCCAGCTTTTGGGAAGCAGCTCTTTGGACACCTTGAAGGAAGCTGCTTGGCTCTAAGCACGGGTCACCTCTGGGAGTGAACCGCTGGTTGGTTGTCATCCCAGAGCCAGTTGTTTTGCACAGGAGGAAGGACCTTTTGCTGTCAAGGCAGGCCCCTTAGGGCACTTGTGCTTCTTTAGATGTGGTGCCCACCTGGGTGTTCATCCCTGCCCACAGCGTTTCAAAGACAGACTTTCCTCTTGGTCGTGCCGGTGCAAGGTTGGCCCAGACAGCTCCTAGGAGCACAGAGCTTGCTTGCTGCAGAGATGCAGCATCAGAGCTGTTAGCCAACTTCTGGTTGTTCTTTGACTGCAATCATGTCACATCAGGGCTCACCAAAGCTGGACTGGCCCTACAGGACCTGGGTGGCTGCTGGAGAGTCGCTGGTGTGGGAATGCTCAAGGCCCTGAGCAGCTAGTGGGAGCCATGGGGCATGGGGGGTCCTGTCCTAGACCCCACTCACTGCGACTGCTCTGCTGAATGTCCTGGGTAAAACTGGGGGGAAAGATGCCTACAGGGCCTCAATCTTAGAGAGGACATCGTGATTGGAAGTGTAGGCTTTTATGCTTTTTGGCTGATGTGGAACTCAACAGAAAACTCTGTAGTAGGTTTGTGTGGTACCTGCATGTATTGCAATGGAGGTTTAAGGAAACAACACTCTGCAGAGCAATAGTAAAGGTTATTCGTCATCAAAATCATACTAACAGGTCAAGAATATTTATTACTATATTCTGAAAAGATGAATAATGACCATTGTCTTGTAAAGGACCTTGTAACTTTCTCCTACGCCTGCTTCTTTCTGCTCAGCTGGAGTTGCACACACCATTCTCTAAGTCTGCAGTGTGCACAGGTACATGAATGCAAACGAGCTCTCCAATGTTTTAGGAAATATGTGTTAGGAAATACGTATTTGTGCATATACAGATGTTTATAGAAACTTATTGCTAGGTTGTACAACACAGTAACAAGTTTCTATAACTCGGTTTCAATCTGTGCTTGTCTAAGATGCACGTTGTTCCCTCTCCACCTTCTCCTCAGACAGATTTATCTTGATGGATTGGTGACATGTAGCAGTGCTTACTGACACAGTTCCTGTGTCTTGGTCTGCAGGCAGCAGTTTTTGCATCTCAAGTTTGTTCCTCAATGAGCGTCACATGAGCCACTTGCTATCTTAGCCTCTGCACATTCTTAGAATGAGAATGGTGTCAAGTAATTCCAATGCAGAGAAAATCTACTTGTTTAATGCAAAAATGGAGATAGCCAGAGAAGACTTGGTTTAAATGAAAAGTAATGAAAGCACATTTATGTTAATACATTGTGCTGGGAAAATTTTCAAAATGCAGCTTAAACAGCTTACTCAGCATCAGGGTACTCTGCTTGGCAGTCTTTTTTTTATTCCTTCTGATGTTTAACAGTTGATTAGTACTGCCACCACCACTTCCCCATCCTCTTGCCCTGATGCAGTCCCCAGGGATAACCACCAGCTTTAGCTCAGCTCATGTTGCCTGGAAGTGGGAACTAAATGCTTGTGTACGAGCTGCATGGGAACCTGCTGAAAAACTGATTATCGCCAAGAGGATG